CAAACCAACGTTTCACTGGCATTCCAGAAGGAGAAGACTGCAATAGGGAGCAGAGACAATATTTCGAGAGATATTGGCTGAGAATTTTTCAAAACTGATGAAAGCTATCAAACCACAGATTCAGGATACACTCAAAATGCCAAGCAAGATACATTTACATAAATTAATGAACTAGGGGAACAGAAATACACCAAATATACTGTGATACAGTTTGCCAAAGACAGCCATGGCATTTCCTCCCCTTCTGCATGGCCTTTTGCAATGTGACGTTTACCGTTCCTCCCATCAAAAGGTGATGTCTAGGCTGGGCGCAGTGGCTCACACCTGTAATCCTAGGACTTTGGGAGGCTCAGGCAGGAGAATCACTTGAGCCCAGGAGTTTGAGGCTGTAGTGAGCTATGATGACACCATTGCACTGTAGCCTGGCAACAGAGTGAGACCCTATCTCAAAAAAACAGCAACAGGAGGTGAAGTCTATTTCCTTCCCCTTAAATGTAGGCTAGGCAAGAAACTTGCATTGACCCATAGAAGGAGCAGAAATGACTTCTGGACCTAGACATCAGAAGGCCTTGTGGCTTCTATCTGTGCTCTTTTGAGTCCTTGAGTCACTATGTAAAGAAGTCCAGGTGGCTCATATAGAAAGAAAGGCCATGTAGAGGAACTCCAAGACACCCTGGCTAAGAGAATTAAGTCCCCACAAGGGAAAAATTAGGCAGGCACCACCTTAACCAAATTATCAAATTTAATATCACCAATGAGGGGATTTACCACTATCACTTGTGTTCACTAATGTGATAGGTCAAGGACACAACATGATCTATGCTGTATTTTTGCCAAAAGAATTTAATATGATTCTAGCAATAAAGAAGCAATTTGGGCTGGGCGTGGTGGCTCACGCCTGTAATCCTAGCACTCTGGGAAGCTGAGGTGGGCAGATTGTTTGAGCTAAGGAGTTCAAGACCAGCCTGAGCAAGAGCGAGGCCCCCATCTCTACTAAAAATAGAAAGAAATTAACTGGACAACTAAAAAAAAAAAAAAATATATGGGCATGGTGGCACATGCCTGTAGTCCCAGCCACTTGGGAGGCTGAGAGAGTAGGATCGCTTGAGCCCAGGAGTTTGAGGTTGCTGTGAGCTAGGCTGATGCCATGGCACTCACTCTAGCCTGGGCTACAGAGTGAGACTCTGTCTCAAAAAAAAAAAAAAAAAAAAAAAAATGGCAATTTGGACAAATCCAAACTGGGATATGCACACACAGAAAAAAAAAAAAGATCAGCCTAAAATTCTCAGTGACACAAAAGAAAGTGACAAAAGAATGAGTCTAGATTAAAAGATTAAAAAAAGACAAATGCAATGTATGGTTTTTGATAAATCTAATAAGCAACTGAAAAGAGGAAAACAGTAATAAAATGTCAGTTAATTTACTTCACTACATTAGCAGATTAAAGGAGTAAATCACACAATCATCTCAAAAAGTACAGAAAAATGTATTAAATTTCAACATCCCCCTTTTTTTTTGTTTTCTTTGAGACAGAGTCTCACTTTGTTGCCCAGGCTAGAGTGAGTACCATGGCGTCAGCCTAGCTCACAGCAACCTCAAACTCCTGGGCTCAAGCGATCCTACTGCCTCAGCCTCCTGAGTAGCTGGGACTACAGGCATGCACCACCATCCCCAGCTAATTTTTTCTCTATATATCAGTTGGCCAATTAATTTCTTTCTATTTATAGTAGAGACGGGGTCTCGCTCTTGCTCTGGCTGGTTTTGAACTCCTGACCTCGAGCAATCTACCCACCTCGGCCTCCCAGAGTGCTAGGATTACAGGCGTGAGCCACCGCGCCTGGCCGTCAACATCCACTCATTATTTTTAGATATGCTCTTAGCAAATTAGGAATAAAATAGACTTTCTTAATCTTATAGAGAGTATCTACAAAAGAGCCCTTAGCAGACACCATACTTATTGATGAAAATTAAACATTTTTCATTTCAATTTGGGAATAAGAATGCTTCCAACCATCACTTCTATGAAAAATTACAGTGCAGGCACCACCCAGCATAGTATAGTAAGAAAAAGAAATGTATACAGATTGAAAGGGAAGCAACAAAATCATCATTGACAGGATTGTATGTATAGAACAATAAAAAAAAATACAAATAAATTCTTAAAATTTATAAAAGTTTAGTTGGGTTCAAAAATCAACACAAAAATTACATCTATACACCAATAACAAACATAATAAAATTTTAAAAATTCATTTGCCATACGAAAGTGTCCTATACCTAGGAATAACTTTAACAAACTATGTGCAAGGCCAGAACAGAGAAAACTTAGAAAGGCATTAAAGAAGAGCTAAATACATCGTCATAGTTTGAAAAACTCAATATTGTAAAGATGTCTTATCCCCAAACTGAGTCACAGAATTCAAAGCAATGGCTATAAAAATCCCAACAGGTTTTTCTTTGGTGAAAATTAACAAGCTGATAGTAAAATTTGTTTAGAAATTCAAAGCCAAGACATTTATACAGAAGAAAAAATATGAAGACGACTTCTATAAAATAATGAAACTTACTATAAAGCTACAGAATTAAAACAAAGTGATATTGGGCTAGAGACACACGAATGGAATAATTAAGCAAAAGAACATTCTTACCCAGGTGGAAGCATGGGAACAGAGGTGGCGCTTCAGAACAGTGGGGAAACAATTGGCTTTTCAATAAATACTGCTGAGACCACTGGATATCCGCATGAAAACAATATAACATTGGGTTCCCCTCATACACTGTTCATGCACACCCTCAAAAAATCAATCCCACATGTACTGGGATTGACTTCAATAAGAAAACCAAATTTATAAAGTTTGTAGAAAGAAATTTAGGATATATCTTCCTGACCTCAAGGTATGAGAGGCGTCTTTAAGACACAAAGAGCACACAAATCATAAAGATCAAAAAGTCATGGTACTTAAGAATAGAGACAGAATATACAAATGGACAATGGCCAGACCATATATAATGATAGAACTCTGACCCCAAATCTGCAGCAACCAGCCCAGGAGGCCAAACCACAACCCATGCGACAGTCGGCCATCAGCCCAGAATGGTCAGGACTTGGTTGATGACAGCCATGGTCTCTAATTTTTGCCCCTGCGTCCAATGGGACACACCAGAGAAAGCCAAGTACACTCCCAGCAAGTCACTGCAGAAGCGCTGCCTCCCGTTAGCCTGCCTCCAAGCCGCTCCAGCCAACAGCCTCCAGTAGAGCGGGCCTAAAGCCTTCCTTTTCTCCACTGCAAACTTTCCCCACTTCCCCACCTGCCTTAGAATCTCAGCCAAACACAGGTTACGGTTTGCTATAGCAAGCTCTCAATAAATTCTTTGTTCTCATTTGGGTGGTCTTCATCAATTTTCACGAAATCAAAAATTTTGCTCAAAGTTTCCATAAAAAGAGTGGAAAGACAAGCCTCAGAGTGGGAGAGGACATTTGCCATACATAGAACCACCAAAGAGCAGTGCACAGCACATGGGGGAGCTCTTAAATGTCAATGAAAAAAGACAACCTATAGAAAAATGGGGAAAAGACTTGAATGGGCATTTCACAAAAGAGGAATTCAAATGATCAATAAACAGTGATCAAAAAACTCCTCAACTTCATTAGTAATCAGGAAAATGCAATCACCCTGTGCAGTAGGCACAGCTGGCACTATTCTCCCCAGCCCAGCTCCCCTGAGGCTCAGAGAGGTGATTGATTTGCCCCAGGTGAGCCAGGGACTGGGGCTCGGACCCCCAGACAGGCCCAGGCCTCTGTCCCCGGTCTCCTCCTTTCCCTCTGGGCTCAAGAGCAAGTGCTTCCAGCTCTGGGCCCAGGCCTCTCATCTGGAGAGGGTGAAAGATCATCTTTAACCACTTCGATACGAGCGTGGACTATAGTCGACAGCCACAGATGAATGCGCACCTCAACTTCAGCAGACAGCCGTGACGTGAAGGTGCACAGCTGAGCGCTGACTTTAGCTGACAGTCGTGATATGACTTTTCTAATTTTTCATTTATCAAAATAAAATTGTGAACATTTAAAAATAACGTAATGAAAACATATATGTATATGTCACCTATTCTGATTTACATTACAAGTAAAGCTGCCTGTAAAGTAAAACAAGCTTTCAGTGCTTTAGAGCTTTCCTCATCACACAAGAGCAAAACGGATCCGTCGTCCATGCACAGCACAAACTACCCTGCGGACTGTGAGTGCCGGCTGTGGGCAAGGTCTTGCGGCTGGTGAGCGCCGTCCCGAAGTGGTTAAGACCTTTTCAGTTTAAAAGATTCTGCCTTCCCAAATGGAGGGAGAGCCAGGGGTGGGGAGAAAAGGGGCAGCAAGAGACCATGGCAGAGGCGCAATCTGCTCACAGTCACTGGCGTCAGGAAGGATGCAGAGCCCGGGCTGGTGGCCGGCTCAGTTCAATCAAGGGTTAATGGGCTATTTGTTAGAACTAAAGAATGTGGGCAATCTTTAGAATTTATCATCTAGAAATCTGCCTTCCTCTGTCCTTTTAGCAAAAGACAAACAAAACAAAGCTCATAAATAGTAATGGTCAAAATGAGCTTAGTAGTAGTAGTATTTCCATTTTAAGAATGAGAAAAATCAAGGTCCGGGGAGGTAGAATAACTTGCCCAAGGCCACACGCCCAAAGAACTGGAGTCCAGGCCCTGGTCACTGCACACCCATGGATTTTCCCCCGACTGTGGTGCTGCTGCTAGTCTACTGCTCCCCCATCCCAAGACCTGCCTCACCCCGACCACTTTTTGGGGGTTTAACTGCCAGGCACTCCGTAGGCATCCCCTGCACCCCATTCAACAAGAAGAAAACCAGTCTTCTGTGTTTGAGCTGGACATTTTGTGTTTTATCTCATCAAAAACCCACATTCCTCTCCCAAACTCCTTGCCTAAGCAACATGGGACACCAACAGGGCTGAGCCATCGGTTGTCCTCTGAGCAAAATGCACACTTACCTTGCCCCAGAAGCAGCAGCAGCTCCAGGAGGAAGATGCCTGGCCGCAGCCCCATGCCAGAATGTTCCAGGTGTCTCAGGCCTCCGAAAGAACCGCTTCGGCAGATGGATGGGCTAGGGCGCTGCCTTCTGCTTTTATGCTCCTCTGTTCTGATAGCGCACCTGTCATAAATTTTACTGTGTTCACCTTTGAAAGGGGGCAGGTAGTGGCAGGCTATAAATGATAAATATTAACATTTAGGCAGCAGAGTACTTGAGGCAGATGAGTCAGTGATGGATAGCATGCTCTGGTCACAGACGCTAACAGACCAGGACCACACAGCTGCCTTCATACGGCCTTCCACGATCGTGGGTGCCCAGAACCCACGATCAGTGTCGGGGGATGACCTGCAGGAAAGAGCCCAGCCCTGGGAATCCCAGGTGCTGGGCTGGAATTCCAAATCAGCCACAGCTGCGGGCACATCCCTTCACTTGGCCTCAGCTTTCTCAGCTGCAAGCCAGGAGACAAAAGAAGTAGGGAATAAAAGAACTTTGTAACAGCTGCAAACCATAAAGCCACCTCCAAACGTGAGTTCTCCTCTTGGTCTGAAACCCCACGTTTCTGGAGCACAGCTGGCTTCCCTAGTTTGCATGATACAGAGAGGTTTGTTTCTGTCCCCGCTCCCAACTCCAAACCCATGGGTGGCCAGTAGCATTGAGCCAGTGTGCATACCCCATGTTTATAGTCTGCATGTTGAATTGAGAGACACGGCAGAGAGGTAAGCCGTGGAGCTGAGTTTGACAGAATCAGCAGTTCCCTTTGGGCAAACCAAGTTGAGAATGCTGGCCTGGGTCTAAACTGGTCAGACAGAGCTGGAATTTATTTATCTATTTATTCATTTATTTATTTTTGAGACAGGATCTTGGTCCGTTGCCCTGGGTAGAGTATAGTAGTGTCATCATAGCTCACTCATCAACCTCAAACTCCTGGGCTCAGGTAATCCTCCTGCCTCAGCCTCCTGAGTAGCTGGGACTATGGGCACATACCACCACATCTGACTAATTTTTGTATTTTTTTATAGAGACAGGGGTCTTGCTATGTTGCCCAGCCTGGTCTTAAACTTCTGGCTTCAAGTGATCCTCCTGCCTTAGCCTCCCAAAGTGCTAGGATTATAGGCATGAGCCACCACGCCCAGCCCAGAGCTGGAATTTAAAGCCTGAGTGACACAAAACCCTTGAGGGTGAAATGTAAATGTTTTGCATAAATATCAAGAAACAACTGCCTTGGTTGAGACAAACAAATATATTTAAATCATCCTTACATTCTGGCGTTCTAAAGGCGCTAGGAGTCTGACTTCTGAGATCTCCCTAGGACTCTGAGGCTGGTTCTCATTACCCAACCTCAGACCTTAATCTTCTGGCTGACTGGCCACTTTGCTCATATTTTAAAATCACAGTTATAGCTCTATTGTCTTGAGTGTAAAGTGGGTGGCCCTTTGTTCCCGGATCCCTGATTTTAGGATGTCGTCTTCCTTTTTCAACAGCGCAGAAAAATGTGACTGGTGATGACCACTGATTTAGCCATGCCAAAGGCCTAGGCTCAGCCTCAGGACCGTAGGGCATCTTGGGCTACACCACAAGTGTGTGGGCACCGATACACCTAGTCCAGCTGGCCCGCAGCTAGTCCCACAGCCTGGAAGAGGGCAGCACACAGAGAAAAGGAAGAAGAAAATACACCCAAGGCCAAGGTCTGCAGGGGCCAATTGAGCATAGATGCCCCTGAATATCTAGACACTTGTCATTTTCACTAAACTGCCCACAAGTTCAATGAGAGACCCGGAGCTGCTGTCCTACTCCTAAGGATGTCAGGAGTCCACACAGCTCCATGCCACCGGGAGCTTTGAGGACCATCATTGAACTTGCTTGGACGACATGAGCATTCACAGGTCCCCGCTCGGGCTCAGGCCAGCTGGGGCGGGTGCAGGAAGCATGGTAGGACATGGGACGGGCAGAAATGACTTGGCTACACACTCCAGGGACTCGCTCCATCTCTTGCTGCTCCTGTCCGTGACTACCACAGCCCACTGGGTTACCATCCTCCAGCCTCTTTTACATTTAGGAAAATGGAGACATGCCTTAAAAACATTTTTAATCCCTGTGAGGCATTCTGGCATAGGAAAGACTGAATCTCCTTCTAGATAGAAGAAATCTTTGAGTTCTATCACTGCATCGAGGAATCCTCATCAACTCTGAGGCCGTGGGGGAAGCAACAGTCTCGGGCTGTCGTCCCAGGCCTGGGCTGCACTCACACGCATGGCTGCTGCATGAGCCCCTGCTATCTACGTGGTCCAGTAATAGCTGTGCCAACAAGGGGGAAGCAGCCGTCTACAGCCAGAGACAACCCCAACCACCTGGCTGGAAGCTTTCGTTCTCTGATGTTTACTATAGAATGTCCTAAGGGGACATGTCCTAAAGGAGGGAAGATGCTCCATTTCAAATTCTAGTAACAACCTGCAGGTGTTCCTTTTGGGAAAGGGACAGGCCGTGAACTCACCCCTTTCAGGGATGGCAGTGCCTACTTTGCTCAGAGGCCGTTTCTTGACGACCAAAAAAGCTGAGATTTTGCAGTTGTGCAGGAATCCACACGGGGTGCTAGACCAAGCCTCAGACACAGGGCCCATGTGGATTAAAGCAGCGCTGGCCTTACTAGAGTATTTTTCAAACTGGGGAGTTACAGCCCATTATTATCCTGTTAATTTAATTTGGCGAATGATTGGCCCATTTAAAAAAATGAAAGAGTACCTCGGTATCATCTCAGAAGGACTGGAGAATTAAACAGGATTCCCCGACCCATCCCTGCTGGGTGGATGCCAACTGTGCCCCCTCCCTTTCTTGGGGAGAATCCCACCTGGGGGCAGGAATGCAAGAGGGACTAGGTCAGGGGTCAGGGAGCACCTGAACCCTAACAGCTACCCTCAATAGCTACCTTCCTCAACCCCCACCATTCTGAGGGGGAAACTGAGGGAAAGGAGGAGGCAGGGAAAGGGCCTGCACTGGTGTTGGACTCCTGGATTCAAGGGCAGTGCTCTGTCCCTCCCATCACAAGGGCTGGGTCCCCACGACCACTTGCAGCAATAGCATTTTTACTCAGTTTTACAGTTAAGAAACTTAAAACCTAGACAGGACTAGTGACTTGGCCAAGGATGCTCAGCTACTCAGGCCAGAGCCCAGAGCTCTTGATTTTCCCACCACAGCCCAGGGCTGGCCAAGTTCAAGCTGTGGAGACTCAACCCAGACCCTGTGCTGGCAGATACCAATGTAAAGCCCACCCCCGTCCCATCTCCATTCTGTCCCAGCGAGACAGGCTGGCACAGCTGTGGGCCTGGCACACATAAGGGAGAAGCTCTTCCCTTATCTTCTAGAACTGAGATCCCCGCCTCCTGGTCCCATGTGGCAGGGCCAGGGGAGAGCTGAGCAAGAGGAATGGTGTGACATTTGATGTTCTGTCCACCACAGGGATCCAGCAGGAACTCCTGCTATGTGGCTAATGTCCCCTCCCTCAGTTCCCTTTGCAGCCTGTCTGTGGGAGTTATGATCTAGCCTTCAAATCCAAAGGGAATAACCAAAGACTCCCAGTCCCTCCCTGGGAATCTCATATGCTTCAGACCACCCTGGGAGGCTCCTGGCCCCATGGCCCCAAGCCTCATGCACTGACCCCACATGCCTCTCTGGCCCACGTTGAGAGCAAAGCACCTGCCGGGGAAAATTTCTGGATGAGGGGTCCAGGGTGGGAGAGAGCCTGTCTAGCCACAGTCAGGGCAGCTTACCAGCTGGGGACGTCCCTGCATCCACACCACACTGCTGCTCTGCTCCGGAATGGGGCCTCTGGCCTTTGGCTGTGGGGCAGAAGATAGTTGTGGCATGGCATCACCGGCTTGTCACTGGGCTGGGCTGTCAACACCACCAACAGGCCACGTGGGCATTAATAGCTTTAGCAGTGATGCGCAAGCTTGTTTGCTTTCCCAGCCCTTTGCAGGCCCACTGTTTACCTTTGACAGTGCCACTTGGGGAGGGGCTGTGGTGTGAGTAGGCAGGGAGAGGGTAGGGCTGGCCTTCTGTCCCCAGGGCCCTGAGGCACAGTGGCCACCAGGCCTGGCTGGGCAGACAGACCTGCACTGAGCTCTAGCCACTGAATCATCCTGCTGGACTGGGCACTGCACCGAGAACTTTGTCACCTGAGGTTCCCTCCCAGCTCCATCCTGAGGGACTGCCTGGCACCTCTGCCTCCAGGCACTGCTGGCTGACACTGGCAGACTAGTGTTCCCTTCGTCCTTTGTGGATTTATACCTGGAAAGTTAACACCCAGAGGAGAAAACTTGAGGAAATGGAATTTTTAAATTGCACGTTTTCTCCATTTTAACCCATGCATATTTTCATACTATAACATTTTTGAAAACAGACTGTCTTGTAATTCACAGAAATGTTTAGAAACTTGCCACTCAAAGAGCAGGTGGTAAAGCCAGATTTTTAACCCTGTTTCTCCACACCAAGGGCCCAAGACACACCACTTTCTCACTCTTGTTCATTTGGGTTTGTTTCTTAAATGAGCCTCAGAGGCCTCCAAGGAGCGTGTGGGAGGAGGAACATGCAGGGACACGGCTCCCCAGAGAGTGGCTGGAATCTCGGCACGGTCTGTGGGAATCCTGGATGGCTCCTTTACCTCCTGTTCACTTTCTTCTTTCCTTCTGGGACAGAGCCAACCAAGTTTCCAGTTGTTCCTCCCTGCTGACACTGAGGGCCATGATTTTTTAAATCTTCGTGGGACTCCCGGCTCTTTTACCTTAACCTGTCTTACCTGGATTCCTGCCACAACCCCTGCAGGCTCACCACCCCGATCCATCCTCCACCTGTCACCCGGGTGACCTTTCTAAAACACCTTCTGCTCACGGATCCCTACCCTTCAGTGTGGCGTCTGCTCCCACCACTCTACCAGAATTGCTCCAAGGTCAACAATTTATTCAATCCAGTAGCCAATGAGGTCCTCAGACCTCACCTTACTTGACATCTCAGCGGCACTTGACAGCTGACCTCTACCCCTATTCTTGTTCCACTCTGCCCTTGGCCTCCAGGCTTCCAGTTTCCTGGTTTCTTCTCTCCAACTGGTCCTCCTCCGCC